AAGCTCAATTTACAACCAGGCGTTTTTTCTCACAATCCGCCCCCACAATATTACAATCGACCCCTCCTAAAAGTATTGTATGTCAAAATTGCCAAGTTTACAGGGGAGCGTTTTAAAGTTCTGAATTCACTCGTTATTCACATAGAGTGATCATCATAGATCATCTAAGATATCTAGGATTTTATAATACTCTGAGTACGAGCTTTGTCGAATAAAACTGAGAAATGCTTAAGTCACTTTTTATGCTCATTTCAGTGAATTCAGAACTTTAAAAGGCTTCCCTGTAAACTTGGCAATTTCGACATACGATACTTTACGTAGGAGGGGGTCAATATGTTTACATTGGTTTATCTTGTACCAGGTAAGACGAGCCTTGGACTCGATGGGCTGCTTCCGCGACATCGGTGTATTCATCGACGTCTCCTCGGGACCTGGGGCCACTCCAGAGGGACTCGAGGTATCTTGAATTGAAGTACTTTATTATTATTTCAATTTTATATTATTTATTTATTTCAATTTTATATAATTATATATTTCAATTTCTTTTAATGTCTATCAATGAATGACTATTTTTATCATTACACTACACTTAGTATAATCATGGATCAATAACTCAGATCGTAGCTCTAAAAGGATAAAAAATTCCGTCTTATATCTAGTTTGCGCTGATCAATACCCTGGAAGTAGTTTATATTATGTAAATGCCCGTGGATATCAGTTAATTCATCATTAATATGAAATATAAAAAGTCAATTTTTCCCTATTATTCAATTGGACGTAGTTAAGCAAAAATGAACCAATCCACAAAATTATCAAAAAATCAATTATATGTACCAAACGGTTCCTAAAGTCTAACCTCTTAGATCAGCAAAAAAATCCAATGTATAAATATAAATAAATATCTCTGGAGTTACATGATATCATAAGTTTTGAAAATAAAACTAGAGTGAGAAACACTTTGAAATAGGAAATGAAAGTATTTTTCCGGATTTAAATCGCGTATATTTGTTTTTTTTCAAACAAACCGACGTTTCGGGCCTTTTACAGGTCCCATGGTCATGGTTGACAGATTGACAGTCAACCGTGACCGTGAAAAAACAAATATACGCGATTTAAATCCGGAAAAATAGTTTCATTTCCTATATGTAACAATCGCGAAAACCTAAGAACTCGATAACACTTTGAAAATTCAAATTGCCAAGTCTTGAAAGTGACTGGACGTGCATTGGATCCTCTTTGTTTAACTGCGTCGAATATCAATATTAATTGATCATGAGCTAATTTTTTTCTGAACTTTGGCAAATATCTGTGTCAATAGATGGCATTGTGTCATACAAATTAATTTATAAATTACCGCTTCCTTATATGAGTAGATGGCGCTAATACTAAACAAAATCTGTGCAATAAGCGCCATCTAGTTGATTTGTTTGTTATCACTAGACAATTAGATAAATTGATAAATTGCAGCTTGTCAATGTAAAACAAATATAGTTACAAAAATATCTATTTCACTTCTCATGCTCATAAAGTTCGTATTTATGCTGGGTGTAGGTTGCATAAAATAGAATTTTATGCTCTAGTGCATAAAAAAAAACCATCACATTAAATATGTGTAATTGTTGTAATTTTACATTCAATTTTAATTAAATAATCGTTTATTTGTAATATCGCTGTTTAATTTCCTCGCAATCGAAGTGAAAAGCAGAGTGTATAACTCGTTCATAAAACCCATTTTTCCCTCGACTTAAGTGTCCACACTCGCCTGCGGCTCGGGTGGATATACGCGTTTTATGTACTTGTTGTACAATGCACTATTTAGTACTCTTTTTTTATAATATCAAGTGATGGGACGAACAAGTCGTGCGCCTCATGGTAAGATACACGCCTGTCCGTAACAGTTGCAGTGCCACTCAGAACTTTAAATCGCAAAGATCTGAGGGGCGCTGCCACTGCGCCGGTCACCCTGTGGCATAAGTTGACAAGTCCTGTACTTTCACCTGCACCGTTACACTTTTAAACCGGAACGCAGTAATGCTAACATTATTGCTTGGCGGCATAAATAGGTAAGGTGGCAGTACTTCCCTGGACCAACTCTTTCACAAGGAGCTCTACTGCTGCTTATATCTACTCGCCGCGACATCTGGTGTACTAATTAGGTACTAATTACCCAGCTACGCTGTCAAGTATCACGATTAGCACTCCTCGTGAGTTAGTGGTCCATGGTATAATGAAAGAAAGAAAGGAGAAAAAATATTTATTCTGTTAATTATTTACAGCACAATACAATACAATACAATTTGTCCACTTATTAATAAATAATTCGACTTAGTAACTAAATAAATTGAGTACTAAAATTGGAATAATACAGTGTGCGCTGTGCTATTATGGAATCCGTCGTACACTCAGCTTATTGTCATGTCACTGAAAGTGCTTTGATTTTGAAATAATAATGGTACCCTATTATTATTTCATTATAAATAAAATAAAAATAGGGATGATTTCCTAATTTCGACCCCTCCTACGTAAAGTATCGTATGTCGAAATTGCCAAGTTTACAGGGGAGCGTTTTAAAGTTCTCCGTTTTATTTGGCAAAACCTCATTACTGACATAGAGTGATCATCTAACCGACATCTAGGATTTTACAATACTCTATGTGAGTAACGAGCTTTGCCGAATAAAACTGAGAAATGCTAAAGTCACGTGTTGTGCTCATTGCAGTGAATTGAGAACTTTAAAACGCTTCCCTGTAAACTTGGCAATTTCGACATGCGATACTTTACGTAGGAGGGGTCGATTTGATGAAATTAATTTTATCAAATTAGGAAATTGTACATATTTAATGCTACACCCTATTTATTCTCAACTACAATTTTAATTAGAGATAATAAACTGACGTCTAGTGGGTCTAATGAAATAAAAATAGTATTGTCTTAATGGATCGACTTCACTGATTGACTCACCAAGTCATCAATAATTAATTATAATTTGTAGGTGTTAAATAGCCAAAGCCGTTTCTTTTTCATTGATTCAGTTTCAGTGAATTCGTTGAGAGCTGAACCAAACACGTCACTATACAATAAACATGGTGACATTATTTTTTAAATTGACATTAGTAGCTGTCAGTTTGTTACTTTATAAAGTATGGAGGTGTAACCTTTGCGTGTGCGCAGGTGACGTTCCAGGTGCGCGAGTTGTCCCGCGTCGTGGGTGGCGTGAATACCACGGTGTCAGAAAACGAGGGTAACCTTGTGCTAGGTAAAAACCATTTTCATTTTATTATTATATACTCCGTCGAACCTCTTATGTAACATTCGACAGCTCGAATTCTAATCAATTAGTGATGTCCTAATGCGTTTCCGATTCGATTTTTTTTTATAACTGTCTATTTTTTTTATGAAGAAATTTCAATCGTAAGTGTGAGCGGGTTCAAAAAAGAAGATATTGTCTGATTTATTTTTCTATTTATTTATTATTTATTTTACCCCATAAAACACACACCTTATAGACTAACATACATAATAATATGATTCAAACAATTTATTTATTTACACGTATGGACCGCGACGCACACGTCACAACTCAACGTGGATGTCCGATGGCCGTTCTCGGAACCACCGGAACATGACACCCTTCGGCCAAAAGTCCTCCGTCATGAAGGTCAACATATGTTGAGTTGGTACTCTCACCACAAATGAATTAAAATTCTCCTTGTGGCGGGACTCCAACTGCTTGACCCTCAGGGCAGCTTTGGCTTTCACCCATATGTACTCCACAATATCCGCAGACTTTGTGGAGTAATGAAGTCGTGACACGTATAGCAATGTCGTCGGCACCGCTGGATGCAATAGACGATTGGGGCCAGTCGGGGCGGTGCCACTAAGGTTACGGCTAGTGTACTTCCTTTTTCTTTTCCACCTTTTTGAAGCCGTATTCGTCGCACTGGTCTACTGCTCTCGGTGGTACTGACGACACAGCTCCAGAGATGAGTTTCCGCTTTTTCTTCTTCCCCTCCGTTGGTTGTCTGGGTTGTGGTTGTGGAGCAGTGGGTTGGGTAGCAGCGGCAACAGCAGCGTAATCACGTCGAGGGGTGAACGTGCTTACGAGTGACGTCTCCGCCGGGGCGGAAAAACGAGAGGCGGGGCGCGGGGAAACGCACGCGGCGACAGCGGCAGCGGTCGTTGGCACATCCATAGGAGCCGACTCAAAACTGCCGATAGATGCGTTTGACGCCCCGCGACAAGTATTCAAGTTGCAGGCTTCGGGTGACCTACTTACAGAAGCTGTTTTACTAAGTAACACAACTTGGGCACGTAAATCACTGATGGTGTTCTCCGAGGCCTCCAATTTATGATTCCCGTTCGTATGGAGAAGAATCCGACAATTAATTATAATAAATAATAAAAATGTATTATAATTATTTATCATTTATTTAATTTCATTATAATTTATTAGACAGGTACCAAAATTTATCAACAATGATCTTCGTTACATAAACCGTTGACTCGGTAAATATCGGACCTAAAGAGCACGTCCTTCACTAAAATTAAAAATTAAAAGAGTCCAGGAAGTATTGCATTTTTTAATTTATTTTGCGGCATCCCTGGTATGTATGTAGCTAATCTCATCCCGCCACCTGTGAGAAAACTATGAAAGTCTCGAATCCAACCTGATCAAACTTTGTATAAATAATAACACTAATCTATGTACTATTTTCAGGTGTGAAACTGCCAAATTTATTGGGTCGAGGTGAACGCGTGAGCGCAGAGTACACTCTGGGGTACCGCTCCTCGTCAAACTTCAGCATCACCGCCACCAAACCCTACCCGCATCGCCCACTCGCTGCACAGTAAGTTGTCAATAATAGAGGCAATATACTCTCGTTTAGTTGTCTCAATCACACAGTATAATTAGACTATATTAGATTATATTCTCTTTTTTTTATAATACAAAGTGACGAACGAACAAAACGTGCGCCTGATGGTAAACTACACGCCTGTCCATAACAGCTTCAGTGCCACTCAGAGCTTTAAATCGCAAAGCTCTCAGGGGCACTGTCACTGAGCCCGCCAGCCTGAGACATAAGTTGAAATTACCATGTGCCTGTAATTTCACCAGCACCCTTACTTTTCAAAACTGGAACTCAGAGGTGTTGAAATTATACATAATATAGTCTTTCTCCTCAGTAACAGCCATATTACACATATGTCACAGTCTGCCTCGGTGGCCGAACGGTGAGACAGAGGTCCTGGGTTCGATTCCCGGACCGAGAGAAATATTTGTATGGTATATGGTTTTTTTTTTTTTAGTTAGTTTGGGTGTAATTTGTCTTTGTCTATGTGTGTGTCCATGGCACCCGCGATACAGGGTTTCTCTAGTGCGAGGCTATGAGTTTTACATTTTTGTATTTGTACTCACAAGAGAAATAAATGCCAAACTAAATGTAGGCCATACAAATCGACCCCTCCTACGTAAAGTATCGTATGTCGGAATTGCCAAGTTTACAGGGAAGCCTTTTAAAGTTCTGAATTCATTGAAATGAGCATAACACGTGGCTAAGCATCACGAGTACAAAGATCTACATATAGGAGAATTTCGACGACTCGGTAACTGCATCCGTAGCTCAGTTGGTTAGAGCAATGCTACGGTGCAGCATGGTCGTGGGTTCAAGTCCCACCGGGTCGACGAAATTTTTCTGTGTGTTCGTTATCATAAGTTATATGTATACAGAATTATAATAAAATGTGGTTTATGTATCTCAGGCTGTCAGCGTCAGTGTACCAGCAAAATCATGAGTACCCGTGGTCGGGCTACCGCCTGCTAGATCGCGGACTGCTGCTCGACTTGGCGTTCCGAACATCCCCCGCCGTATGTATTCCTAACTCGAATATAAACACTGATAACCGCAGTAAAGTATGGTCCTCCCAGATCGAGAGGAAAACGGATCTCTCAGTGGCCGTAGCATGGCAGAATATTGGTGATAAACCTCCCTGTTGATAAATCTAAGTTTGCTTATTTGGTAATGAACTATTGTTATACATTTTAAAGAACAAAATGGAACTAACTAGAAAATAATAAAACAAAAAATGACAAAACTACATTTGCTTAATTAATTTTGGTAATGAACTATTGTTTTAAATTTTGAAAAACAAGGACAACGATATAAAATTGCGTATATAGCTATCTTTGTCGTTTAATCATCGCCGCGAAAACCATGAAACAAAAAATCGCGCTCAAATTTTACGTTGATAAAATTACTGTGCAAATGTTTTAAAATCAGCTGTGACCTTCCAGTCATGTTTGACACTGTTAATCTTTTGGAGTTATTGGTCGCCGGCGCTCGCGATGACAAAAATATGACGTCGCGGTGCTCGCCATGTTCGCTATTGTGATAAAATTTTAAAATAAGTTTATCACACGAATTTGACAGCTAAATGTGAATATAATAGCTTTATCGAGGTGGCATACTACGCGAGCAGATCTGTACCATTTAAAGCTTGTTAACAAAAATATTACCAAAATAATCGTAGCTATTCTTTATACTTCCAAGTCAGTCAGTGCGTCCGGTTTGCACTAAATGTAATGAGCAACTGGTAGGAATTTGACGATAACGAAAACACAAGCCAAAAAACAAACAACTATTTTAGTAAGTTGTTTGTTATGTAAGGCTGCATAGTTGTTTGACAACCTGAGCAAGCGAAGGCAGCTCATATTCAAATATAGAATCCAGAGCATACCGAGGATTTCAAAGCACGAGACACAAAACAACTTTACTAAAATTATTTACAAAATCAATACAAATTGATCCACGCGCAAAAAGAACCCCAGACAGACCTGTTTTTGAAAATATACGTAAAACTACAATCTACTTAAAAAGTTCATATTACATGTGCATGAAAATTACTACGAATAGACTATCAATTGCAATAAAAAATCTGACATTTCGACTCATCCGTAGAACAAAGGCGTATGTGTAAGACTGTTCGTTGTCAGAACATTGTACATTTCGTTCGTTGTTATTCGCTGCGGGTATCCGATCGACTGTTGTTCGATTTTATATTTCCGAAACGAAATAAGGTATAAAAATTCTGAAATGACCTATCTATTGGCCTTATTTTGAGTAACGAGATTATATATTAATCACATCAGACTCTGTTCTTCGGATGAGTGTAAAGGATATTATAGCGTAAATGACTACTTAGAAGATTAAGTTTTGTATGCTTTTGTATAATGGCTGAATAAATGAACTCAAATGTAATAATTACCATCCTGTAATAACCTATTCAATGCAAATAAACCTTATTATTTACTGCCGAGCGAAACACACAACTTTTCACCTCACTATAGCGAGGAAAATGGCAGATGAAAGAAAAACAGTTGAACTATAACAAATCAGTTTTAATAAACAAAATTATTTATCGTTGTCAATTTAATGTCAACAATAATAAGAATAAAATATACCAACGGATTTATATTACATAAATAATGTACGACAAATCGCGTGTTCAACTACGCGTCGTTATGTTTTTTTTCATCGAACCACAGTCCACCACAGTCCATCGTCAATATCGAATTTTGCACGCAGATTTCTAATGAGAAAGAAAGCCTTTACGAGCTAGTGAGATGAAAAAAATATTGTACTGTGTGCATTGACTTACAAATAAATGGACGACTGGTCTAATACAAAAACCACGAAAAAAATGTCCCAAGTCAACCTATTCGAAATTTAAATTGTAATGTCATCGCAGTATCGCGCTGTCAGTAGAACAAATGAAGACTAAAGCAGAGTGTCGCGCTCTGTATACGATTATAGCGCCTTACAAGTGCGGACACTTTTTAGCGCGGACCCGACGTCCATATAATTGTAAGTCAATGACTGTGTGTAAGTTTATTCAACATTATATAATCTGCTGACTTTCAAACCTGCTTGCATTGAAGTTTCACGGTATAATTTACAATGTAACAATTGACAGAGCTCTTGTTTTATTTGTCAGTGTTATTTGTCATTTTTTTAGACAAAGCACAGTCTCCAGTGGGAGGGAGTGGTAAGAGATACAGCGGTGCTTAGCAAAACTACTTCCTTCCGTGTTAGAGAGAGCAGCGGTGAGTGTTGTGATTTTTCTTTAAATTTAAATGGGACCAACATCACTGAATTAACCTCTATCCAAAAAAAAAGAATCATCAAAATCGGTTAAGAACCTCCTCCTTTTTTAAAGTCGGTTAAAAGCTATGAACCACCATGGAAAATTCTCAAATAATTATCAACGAAAATAAATACCTAACTCAATAACTTTAGCAAGATTAGTTAGAACAGTTCCGAAGTGTACCGCTAGATGTCATTGACGATTGGTAGAATCGACCAATCATAACTTAGAGAAGTAGAAGAATAGATCAGGTCAATATGTCAGCATTACTATGCTCCGATTTTGCAGGGTAAGGGTGCTGGTGAAATTACAGGCACAAGGGACTTGTCAACTTATGTCTTAGGGTGACGGGCGCAGTGGCAGTGCCCTTCAGATCTTTGCGATTTAAAGTTCTGAGTGGCACTGCAACTGTTACGGACAGGCGTGTATCTTACCATCAGGCGCACGACTTGTTCGTCCCGTCACTTAATATTACAAAAAATCAGAAATTGCGTTTTCTATGCCAATGCCATCTAGCGGTAAACTTCGGAACTGTTCTAATTAATGTTGCTAAAGTTATTATGGGTCGTATTCTAGAACTCTATTCAATGCTCAAGTCAGGATTGCACTGGAAACACAAGCACTGGAAATACGACTCTAATGGCAGGGACTTAAGTATGATTTCGAGTGCTTTAAACCATACTCAAATCCTGATTTGAGCATTGAATAGAGTTCTAGAATACGACCCTGAGTTACGTATTTTGATAAATTCTAACCCCAACAAAAAGGAATATAATATTTAATTAAAAGATGGTATTGCTCTAAGGAAAATTACCCTTCACTTACCTGGATGTGTGGTGATACAAATAATCCAATATAATTGTTGCCAGGTCCCCAAATGAAGTCGATCCTTCGACACATAGTGACGGTGGACCACCGCGACGAACCAATCTTCCCCAGTAAGGGTACATGGGTGCAGTTCTCCAGTGAGGTATCTAATACTTTTTTTTTATTAAAAATAAGTGGGCATTTGACTTCCGTCTGACCTGATTTAAAGTGACGACGAAGTTGACGATGGAGCATGTACACCTAAATAACGCCTGGCCAACAATGAACAGGCTTCTATAATATAAATATTTGAATTACATGAGGACGGCGCCATTTATCGGATGCGTAGCCTAACTAGTTCGATTTTCTCGTTTCCTCCTACATATCACACTAACTAGTTCTCAGATAGCGGGATAGGTGGCGCTGATCTCCCTTTTGTTTCTTTCCTGGGCGCCGACTCGCTAGCGTATAAGACTATAAAAATTTGTATTCATTCTGAACAAGAACCATAGACGACTCTTCCTCCTCGACGACTCCTCAACTCCATCCACAAAAATCCAAACCTCGATAAAACAACGACTGTTCACTCTCGCCTTGAAAAAGTCCAAGTTATAACGTTCAGGGAACAAGTCTGCAGGCAGGGAATTCCACTCCATATCTGTTCGCCATATAAATGTGGAAGCCTAACGCTTCGTGCGAATTCTTGGAATATCCACAACACAGGTATGGAACCGCAGTCTACGCCTGGTCCCCCGATGATGGAAAGGGGAAGGCGGAATTAATTCTTGCAATTACCCTCGCACACTCTCCTTGATATATCATATAGAATAGCGATAAGCGGGTAACTTTACTGCGATGGTCAAGTCTCGGCAGCTTCGTCTCTACTAATTCCGAGTCACCTATAAGCCTCTTGGCACGCTTGTCAATTGAATTCAAAGTGGCCAGTTGGTATGTAGCAGAGCCATCCCATAGGTGGCAGCACTACTCCATACACGACCGAATTAGTGGTTGGTGTAGTTATTTAATGATTGATCATATTATTACGTTATTTAATCAATCATATTTGACTCTTTGATTTTTTTTCATATTTGTAATTTTTTTTAACATTTCGTATCGTCATTGTATCTTGTTAGGCAGGAACTATATATGTATTGCCTAGGACTTGTAATATTTTGTAATATTCGTATGTCGTGATATTTCACCATGTATACAGAGTTATTTGTAGAACACTAACAACTACTCACGACTATGTTACTAACATCATAAACAACAACTATTGTTCTATGACTTGACAAAACATGACAAACGATGGCGAAAGCTGACCTATTAATTATAAAATCAACGAAGAGCCGTTCATGGGCTTTGCTAGTAGGATTTTACGTTTTAATTTATGCTTAGTTATCAATATATTTATGTATATTTCTAGAAGTCGGGAATAAAGAAATTGTAAAACAATGTATGTAGAATAATTGCAAGAACACAACGCAATTGATTTAGTTCGACCATAGATTAGGTAACGCTCTTGTACGTACGTTTCATTTTAAGTACGATCGAAAGTTTACTTATCTAAAGTATTGGTTATTTTATAGTACACACGTAAAACATTAAAGCTATAAAATATCTAAATAATCAATTAAACAATAATGACATAAAGTGAACAATAAAACACAATGTGACAACACGAAAGTTAGCAAAGGAACGTTTTGACAACAGACCTATTGCCAACGTCAATGTCACATTGAGATTGAGAACAGTGTGGCCATTTGTCGCAGATTTCTGCCATATGGGCGTATTTAATTTTATTGCGCAGAACATATTAACGTTGTATTAAATGTGGCAGAGTTTGGCAGATTTGGGAATATTCAGCAAGTTCTTTATTATTTTTGGGAACTAATTGAAAACTTGTTGTTTACTGCAGCTGCGAACAAAAATTATGAAGCGAAAGAAAGAAGAATGTTGTAAACATATCCTGTATCAACTTTATAACCCCAGCTTCTACAGGCTGTACTCAATTAGCTTTTTTGATGCTATAATAATGAATCACAAGTATTGACAGGTTTCTTTAAGGCACGTCGTCAAAAATACTGGGTCACAGATTTCTCGGGATGTCGCCATCCTTCTTTACCTGCCAGAAATAAACTTTTAAGTTTTTGTTGTATTATCTCACACTTTTTAGATTCGTAGTAAGTTCAAACGTGAAAGCGTAGTGACGACTTCAACCCGCTCTCCTAGGGTTTTGCACAGAGTTATCGCCGTTTAGAATTATGTATTTAAATATTGTTATTTTTGTATGAAAGCAAAATCTGACGAGCTATTAAATAAAATTAAAATCATTCATTGCAGACAATCTACAATTAAATTATATAAAAGTTGTTGTTTATGATGTTATAGTCGTGTCTATAAAATAACATTTGTAGAGTTGCCAGTTTTCATAAAATTTTAAATAGTTTTGTAGATATGACCGAATTGTGAATGTTAACGACGTTCTAATGAGTAATTAAAATTAAAAACTTTTTGTATTTTTCATAAAAATAGTTCGAAATACAGTGTGTATGTGTGAACTTACAAAAATGGACAATATTTAAATGAACTTGAGTTCAATAATTGGATGAATGATGATAAAACAAGTTCGGCTGTTTATTCCATAAGCATAAATAACATTCAATTGATAGTAGAACACAATGAACCGTAATTTTACTCTGTCTTTAAAAAAGACTATAGTAACATACAATTTTAAAAATAACCCTGTATATTTGCTCAGTATCCTTCGATTTGTAATATTTGTATGTAATTTCTTTAAATATTTCACCGTGTATATAATTATTTTGCTGGCAGGTATGCGGTTTGGGCGGTGGAGTGGCCAATCTAAAAACTGAATTGCAGGCACAGAGCAACGTCTCCATAGCTCCTAACGTTGTGAGTATTAAGTTAAATTAAAAATCATTGTATTTACTGAAGCGAAGCTTTCTTGGCGACCAGGAATTGCGTAGCTTCGGAACAAAATTTGGCTGTTTCTCAAGTTTAAAACTAGCATAAGAAATACAATTCTACAGGAGTGACGGAGCTTAATATTATTTGCTTTTTAATTCGGGACTATAAAATATGTTTTATACGTCATTGCGTTTAAAACATATTTTGTTTACCTCGACGTTTCGAACATATTGCAACGTCCGTGGTCTCGAAGGGACTCAAGAGGCGGGTGTCAGCATTTTCTAGCCGTGCGAGTTTTTCTAACTACCCGCACTTGATCTTCATTATTTATTTGTGCACTAGGGTTCTCACTAGACCGACACTCAACGCTCACGACATCAGGTGACTTGTCGGGCCATACTTGATGTCGTTTACATTTGCCGATAACTGGACCCCAAGACGATGATGGCTTAAAACCGTCTTCTCGGTTGAAATTACAGTGTTTTTTAATTTCAATGGCTTTACGTACGATTCTACTATAGTGATGACGTTCTGTAGAAAGAACATTGGGATTATGAATCTTAATCCAGTGGTTTGGTCCTGATGACGTTGCAATATGTCCGAAACGTCGAGGTAAATAAAATATGTTCTATACGTGATTAAGTCCCGAATTAAAAATCTAATAATGTGTGAAAATCGTGAAAGTTTAAATAATTTGAGCTTCGTCAGACTGCATCAAAGCCGTCCACGCGCGCGTCTGCGCACATGCCCGAAGCGCTGCAAAAGCGCGGGAGCAGCAACAGTGCCCTGAATGCATAATTAAATTGGACTCACAGAGCATTGCACGATTTTTGGGTATATTTGTACCACAAACTTGCCGTGTACAGTAATGTACAAAATGCCTTAAACAATGTTATCTTCACTGTATCCGTACATCTAGCAAACCTTTGAACTCATATGTTCGCCCGAACTGACAATGCCCTGCGCTCCCTTTCCATATCCGCATCATACCTAAGATCCTCGGTCAAGAAATGCCCAAGATATTTAAATTGAAATACTCTTTTAAAAGTAACACCATTGAGTAACACGGGTGGTTCAAAAGTAGGGCACTCGTTTCCCGCCTTAAAGACCATGTACACTGTCTTTTTAACATTGTAAGCTAGACCATGTGACTCCGCGTAGGACTCACATATCGACCCCTCCTACGTAAAGTACCGTATGTCGAAATTGCCAAGTTTACAAGGGAGGGTTTTAAAGTTTTGAATTCACTGAAATGTGCGTAACACGTAAACTAGCATTTCTCAGTTTTATTCGGCAAAGCTGGTTACGCACATAGAGTATTATAAAATCCTAGATATCGGTTACATGAACAACCACAATTTATTTTATAATTACACTCATTTCAGTGAATTCAAAACGCTCCCCTGTAAACTTGGCAATTTGGACATACGATACTTTACGTAGGAGGGGTCGATATATTAAGTAGCTTTCTCATTGCGCTATATCGTCAATAAAACTACCAAGCCGCTTGCCGCCAAGTTCCTCAATTAGCGCATTCATATATTATGTGTATAATGAGAAAGTGCATGTAAGTGAGTGTGTGAGAGAGAATACGTGTAATGGTGTGTATGCATTTAAACATACACCTTCAATGGTCAAGGTTTAGGCAATGCTGATACGAGCGCGCGAGTTGACAAATTCGAGAACTATAGAAAAATATTTTACGTGGTGTAAATACACTTCAGGTGTTCCAAGTGTCCGGCGCGATAGGCGTACTACACGACATGTTCGGCACAGAAATCCCAGACCATTACTTCCTGGGTGGTCCCACGTCGGTGCGGGGATTCGCCATGAGAGGCCTCGGACCGCACAGTGACAACCAAGCCACAGGGGGAAAGGTATACTGTATTTCATTTATTCACGTATTATTTCCCGCCAATCGTTAAGAACGAG